TGTTTTGAATTGGTTTCTAAATCCACTGCTGTCAACCCTCCCCCATAGCGACGATTTTCGCGGTGCATGATGCTATCTCGTCATTTCGGCCTCGAGCGGTCTGTCGACGCTCACGGCGGAACCCTCAGTATTCGCCGTCTACGAGTAGTTTGGTCGTACCTCCCTTCCCCACTCCTTGGCTGGGCTCGAAGCGAACTGTGGCCGATCGCGTCTGGCTTCCTCTCGTCTGGCCTCTTTGACGAGAATAGTCTCATCCGGCCTGTCAATTATGCCCTGACGATGTCCGTTCTGAATCCCGTATACAATACCACATTCAGGCCAGTCCTGTTCGACCCGCATATGTACCCCTCAAGGCTGACATTTATTTCTGCCCTGACGATGTCCGATTATAATCCGTTATATACCGCCACATGCAGGCCAGTCCTGCCCGCATTTTTATGTTATTATTAGCGAGGGTTTTTTCTCCTTTAAAATTAATCCAATAATGTTTAAATTTTTGAGTGTTTTTTTCAGCGCTCGCTCATCATTTTTCTTAACGGACTACAAATGCAGAAACTATGAATTGCATTTTGTACAGATTCTGCCTACGAATGCCTTCTGTCCGGCATTCTGAAAGCAGGTTCCAGATGACTTGAATGCCACATGTCTTAGTGGCGGTGCATGGCGAACGATTTGATCTTGGATCTTCCACAACAACGCCAATCCCCTCGTACTAACTTTACTGGCCAATTGGATGTGGTGTTCTGCGTTCACTCGCCGATTGGCTGATATTCCTCCATTGTCAGTGGTCAGCCGAAGAGATGAGTGCTCATCCTGCCTATTGGTTGCTTATGTGGGAGCTTGACAGCAAGATGGGTGGGAGGACTACCGATAATCAAATCACACTAATCCCGGCAACATGTGTCTCTTAGTGCGCAATGCCAAAGCTGAGAAGGTTGGTGGTTCGAGGCCCGCAGGTGTTTCTTCACTTGACGATCTCATGCTGGGTACATATAAGTAAGAAGATTAGATTCTAATCCATTCTAAAATGGATTACAAGTTTCACTCGTTCAACAACTGTTTGCCCATGTGTGAAACTGACTCTTGTCGCCACGGCAGTCTCTCTGACCTACAGGGCTAGGAGATCGTTTCTCAGTGGTTGTTATTTTCCTTCGCAAATTAACGTACAATAGGTGGGCTAAGTCGTAAAATGTCAACCGAAATTTCGAAATGCGTTTTCGTTCCGAAAAGAATAATTAACTAGGGTTGTAAAACCAATCATCATGTAGCACAATTCTATAATAATTCAGTTACCTCAGGACACCGGCTTTCGAAAAAAACTTCTTTCCGATTGCATGCAAAAACTGTACTCTGTAAAAAAATCACTACTTAAGCAGCATGCCTTTTTCCCACCGATTTTCGATGCCCTTGAACATTCAATTAGATTTCATAGAAAACATGCATAAGCATATTCATTCTTTGACTCATTCGGTAGCAAATTACGTTTTCTTCCAATTTTATTCTCGAGGGAAGGGTATAATTCGGTTTTCAAAAACTTTTCCAATTCCCGAATAATTTTTAACCCGATCTGCCGTCACACTTTCATTCAGAGTTTCCAAACTACAAGCCGTATATTTTCCGTGTATGGAAAACCGTGCATTTCTCTGCGGTATTAAAATGAGAACATATAAGGTTCCTAAAACTGAGCAGTGGATTTGAGCCATATTTTTAACTTTACAAGCTACATTCGTAAATGCAGAGACACGACGTTTTACGAACGGCCGTTTCGCGATATTGAAGGATCTCACAATTAGAAACTTTGTTCAAACCGACTCATACCCTTCCTTCAAGTATGCAAGTGGAAGAAGACATTGTTTTCTACCGAATGAGCAAAAGAATGAATATTTTAATGCATGTTTCCTATGAAATCTACTTAAATTTTTAATGACATCAAAAATAAATGAGAAGAATGTATGCTAATTAAGTAGTGATTTTTTACAGAGTACAGTTTTCGCATGCAGTTGTAAAGGAGCTTTTTCGAAAGCCAGTGTCCTGTGGTAACTGAATTATGATAGATTTATGCTACGTGATGATTGGTTTTACAACCCTACTTAATTAATCTTTTCGGAACGAAAACGCATTTCGGAATTTCGGTTGACATTTAATGAGTTGGCTCACCTACTGTATGTCTGAGGGAAATCGAGACATAAATTAAATAAACATGAGGATCTCGATGATCTTAGTGCTAGTAGCAGGAGTCAGCAGGGGGTTATCGGTGTTTCCTAGTTCCTCATTAACAACTATTTCAGTATATTCGGACGTTACAAAATGCGCCACTAATCATTTCTGACTTTGTCGGGGCTTTCTGGCGCCTATCATCGCACATGTAACACTTTTTTCCTTTTCTTATTTAAACTGTGCTAACGATTAAGGACAAAATTAACGTCCCGGTGGTAGGGCCTTCAGTGAGAGGCAACAACGAATGTTAGTTGAGAAGTTCTTCCAGTCGGTCAGTTACTTTATGTCATGATAAATCGCACGTTTGAAAAAAGAAATGCTTCGTAAAATGATTGCTTGTTTGAGGAGCTACAATGGTTAAAGACAATACGTCGGCATCAACAGCCTTCTCGCACTTTACCGATCCCTTTCTTGTCTCCCAGCCACTGGCCTCTCACCTGCGCCTTCGGAGCTGGCGATCGTGCAGACGCACGC